TTACAGTTTGCATATAAATTTGGACTAGTTTGGTTAACATCAATTTATTTCTGAATACAGGAATCCTTTGTGCGCCTTTGTATAAACAAGTACCTTAGGGCGCCTAGGGGCGCCCTCAGAATTTGACGTTCTGAGCAATTGCCCTCTTCCAAATTTCGGGGCCTGCCTGTAGATGACAATATTTGTTTGTCAAAAACTATGTGATGCAAAAAATTAAGCTAAAAAGTTTATCAAATAGTCCTCAGACCGTTTCACATTTTTTAGAAGTTTTTCTACTGACCATTCTATCTTCACGAATATAAGAAAATCATTTATTAATTTTCCCAAATGTCGTTTTTATCTAGTGTACAGCCGGGCGCCTCACGGCGCCCTTGAGGATTTGGCGCCCTAGGCAGTTGCCTAGGTCGCCTTACCCTTAAACGGGCCCTGAATGTAGGCAGCGTACAACCTCGACGATCATGAGGGTTGAGGATACTATCGTTCATTTGGAAATATGCTATAATAATCTCCCCCATTGTGCTGAGAAGAACGATATGTCACTCGACATGGTTTTGTTAGAATTGGTAAGTCGCTGATGACCACACCCACTGGGGGTGTGGTTTCCAAATTTTAATTATGCTATAATAATCCCCCCATTGTGCTGAGAAGAACGATATGTCACTCGACATGGTTTCGTTAGAATTGGTAAGTCGCTGATGACCACTCCCACTGGGGGTGTGGTTTCCAAATTTCAATTATGCGGTTGAGATCCCCTCACTAAGCTGACAAGAATGATATGTCGCATGACGTACTTTAGTTGGGAATTCGCAGAAGCGCCAATGGCCACACCCCTTTGTCGCCAGGGGGTCAACGATAACATCCTGTCGTTCGGATGGGGTGCATCATCAATATTATGTCTAATGGCGATCTTGAATTCCGAAAATCACAGCGCTAGGAATTTTTTTCTACTTTAAGTGGTTGAATTTGTCCTTTGACCACTCCCACTTTGACTTGTAATGAGGGGGTGCGGCCAGATAATCGCTGGATACGATGACCTGACTATCCGCCAAGAATTGTATCCAGATCTTTCGAAACCCGACGTAGAATTTCGAAATTCGATACCAAAGTGTCACTTCATTTTTTTGACCTGGTGACCTGGATAACCGGTGGGTGGGGTCAAATTTCAAAAATCTGAAAATATATATTTCGCGCAAGGGTCCAAGGTTTCCAAAACGGGCGCCATTTTGAAAATCCATCAACAACTGACCGAGCAATTAATTTCGAAACTTCACATGTTATTACTTATGGAGAGGTCGGCCATTTAGCCTTTCATCTTTATTAACATTGGCCGATGTTCTACCTTTTCCAAATGGACCATAGCACGAGCTATCGTTCCCACTTCGCATGGTTGGGATACGAACGCGGGAAGCAAATTTTGGTCGAGGTTGTACGCTGACCAAAATTAATATTCATCCGACATCTGTTAGCACCTTCTGTAGAGTGATATCAATTACATGAATTTATTGCGTAATACCCAGGAACATCAATTTTTATGTACTTGTTATTATTAATGAAACTATATCTACTTCTCAAAATTCGTGATGCATCAAGCGGTTTATTCCAGTGATATCATTTTTAAAGCTCTATTTTAAAATTCCAAGTGCTTGGTGTTATAAAAAGGGTCCCCATTGACGAACATCTAAACCATGTGATACATATATATGCACTTGGATCACCGAGTGGAGTGGGTGGAAAGAATGTGTTACTTGACAGAAGGGTTGATTCTAGAAAAAAGTTCACTTGATTTCAAGTGCGCTATTTATAGTCTCGCATGGCTTTTACAAGCCACGTTTCATCCCTGAGCCTTATTCGACTAAAATATATTTATTGTGCAGGTAGAGAGCAGCTTGTGTTCAGTCAATGAGTAAGTCTCCGTAAGAATTATAATAAATATTGCATGGCGGTCCATTTTCTCGTCAGTTTTGAAATTTTAGGAGCAGAATAAGCTTGACAATCGGATAAAGGGCAAATTTCCCTGCACTGGTACGGAATCCAGAAAAGTATAGTTTTACTCCTTCCTTTACGCCTCGATACTTCTAAATTACAGGTTCGGAACCCAAATTGAAATGAGTCTACCAACAGCCAAGGTTCGGAAATGTTCCACCTGCTCAAAATCATTCAAAAGAAAGACGGACTTGGCCCGGCACATTATAACCCACGACCCGGAAGCCAAGGTGAAATGTCAGGTAACAATTTAAATTTAAGACGTATTATTAGCTCGCCCTACGTAGCACGGGAGCTATTGAATTCCTCTTGTCCGTCCGTCCGTCTGGTTGTTAACGACTTTTTTGTACCAATTGATGCTAATTAAACAGCCCCTTGACCAATATTGGATAAGTTGGGCGCACCATTGGTATCAAACAATCCGTGGTGCAAATGGTGCGAAATAATTGGGGGAATCGATGTATTCCGCACCAATGGTTAAAATTATCTGAAAGTTCTTGTTAGTCGTAGCAGACACATCTTAACCTCGAAATAATGTCAAAATTGTATCTCAATTTTACTCATTTCGGCCGCACCAATGGTGCAAAATTTTATCAAATTTCTGTTATTCCCCGCTAATTCTGTACCATTGGTGCAAAATTATATGAAAATTATGTATCTTTTTTGTCGGCTAATTCTGCACCTTTGGCGCAAAGTTATGTACAACTCATTAGAACAGGGTGAGCTACTTCTAACGTTACAACGGTTTATTCAATTTATGATTAATTTTACGATTCTGACCACCCAGTCACCCATGCTTTACCATTTCCTAATATTTAGATTTGCGGGCAAATTATGAAAAATCCACAAAGCTTACACGTTCACATGAGAGTGTCTCACACCAACCGGGAACGACCAAGTTGCGATATTTGTCATCGGGTGTGCTCTTCACATGCAAATTTACGAAGACACATTAGTTCCGTTCACAGCGCGATGAAACGACCTCGTCTTCCATGTGATTTTCCCGGATGTGGAAAAACCTGCCAGAACAGGGATGCCTTATCGAAACACTTAAGAAGTGAACATGCCGAAAATCCGACCCGATTTCCGTGCACGCTTTGTGGTAGAAAACTAAAAACCGCACAAAAATTTGAGGAGCACATTTCCACCCACACGACGGAAAAGGCCTACACTTGTTCCACTTGTGGGAGGAGTGGGTTCACCCAACAAAACGCCATGAAAAAACACGAGGTAGGAGTCAATTTTTCTCGCTAATATTTTGTCGGATAAAATAAAACGGCTAAAAATTTAGCAACTTATAAACACTGGCTTATTTTACAGGACACGCATTTGGAAATTTCGACCCGGAGGATTTTCCAGTGTGAACTTTGTCCTCAGATTTTCTTGAGTGGAGCGGCCTTAGTAAAACATGTGCAAGTTTGCATGAAAATCGGAGGAATTATCCGTGCACATTTTGTGACAAAAGATTGACGACATCAGTCAGTTTGAAACGACACGTGGAGAGAAAACATTCCGCCAGGATTCATTCCTGCGACCATGTGAATTCGCGAGTCACTCGAAAGCAGGTTTATCCCAGCACGCAAGGCATCACAATCCTGCGAATCGACGCGACTGTTACTTCTGCAGGAAGCCGTTGTGCACTTTTCCAATCTGGTGACACATTGTCGTCGTCATACCCTTGAAGGGTGAATATGTAATAAATTATTGTTGCTGTTATTGGATTTTATTGTGAGGTCAGTTAAATATACATATAAATACATACATATATAGTTATCTTATTACGCCAAATTTAATTTTTGAAATTTCAGCAAGTGTTTCCAAATGGTCATCTATATTATAAGCTGGAAATGTTTGTCTGCAACGGAAGTGAAACTAATTTGTCCGCAACGGAAGTAAAAGTGGAGAAAGTCAAGTTTCAAATGGCGCGAAAATTCGAATTAAATTTTTAATTAAAAAAATAAATACCCCCCAGGTAACCACCGTCTGACAAGCACCCCCAGATAACTACCTCCTGACAACCACTCCCAGATAACCATCTAAGATAATCACCCCCAGATAACCATCTAAGATAACCACCCCCAGATAACCATCTAAGATAACCACCCCCAGATAACCATCTAAGATAATCACCCCAGATGTACGCATAGCACAATACTGTTGTGACCTGAAACAACTCATCGATCTGTGATGAAGTTGTCGGTGCTGAGCTGTGCGCACAGCACAGGGTCGAAGAGTTATGTCATGTTTGAAGTGGGACTATTAAGCTTTGATGTGCTGTTCTGGGCTGTGCGCACAGCACAGGGTCGAAGAGTTGTGTCACGTTAGCAATGAGGCTATTGTGCTGTGACGTGGCACAACTCATCTGTGATTTGTTGTCTGATAGTGGTTATCTGGGAATGGTTGTCTGACGATGGTTCTTTAGGAATGATTATCGTGAGCGGTTGTCTAATAATAGTTATATTGGTTATCATGGACCCTGTACTTTAAAGTGAGGTAAAATTTGGTGGATGTCACTTTTGCTTCCATCGCGTGGAACAGTTACTTTCACTTTTCTTTCCAATATACATGTTCAGTTAATAAGAGGTATAATAAAAAAAATAATTCTGCGGAATTATGAACAAAATCCCACTCAATTTTCATGAAAATCAGTTGAGCTCTCGCCCGGCGGGAGACGGGCTTATACGCTAGTGTTAAATAAATAAATAAACCCCATGTTAAATAATCGTTTAAAATCTCTTTACTGGCCCTAAAAAGTTGTATTCCTCCCGTGTATTTTCTGCGCATGTGCGGGGGAATATCACTAACATGCACGCATTAACAATTAGATAAGGAGTACTTGACACTCACACATTGCATTTCAAATGAGAAAGTATGAGAGGAAGATGATCTGACTGATTTGATTGCATACATATTTATGTAATATCCGATTCGGTCCATTCATATTGCTATTTCTGTCCAAGGGAGAGAAAAGGTTGAGTGGTTGTAGGAATGTGCTCAGTGTCAGAAGGGTCGTTTCTAGAAGAAGGTGCACTTGCCTCAAAGGGTTTCTGCCAGGCACAGTTCATCCTTTTGACCTTTCTCTTCCTATAAATAAGTCAAGTAGAGAGGGGTTTGTGTTAAGTGCGTGAATAAGTCAATTTTCCACGGACATAAAATCAGGCATTTCAGTACATTTTCTCCGCAGTTTTGAAATTCTAGGAGAAGAATTGGGTTTATTTTTGGATAACAGAAACTTTGATACCCTGCTTCGTAACCCAGGAAAAGTGACGTTTTGCTTAGAAACTCTTTTGCGTAAACTTGGCACGTATGAATTGCATAGAAGTTGGAAAATTTGGAATTAAAATGGGCTCAACGCAAGAAAACGATTATAATTGTTCCACCTGCTCAACTAAGAAGCAATTAAGCAATCACATTTTAACGCACGACCCAGGAGCGAAGTTGAAATGTCAGGTAATCATGTAAATTTGTTAGACTAATTATAAAATTTCTACCGTTCAAAATTTCACATTTTATACCTTTCGTGCTGCATGCAGGTGTGTGGGAAAGTTTCGAAAAGCTCAAAAGCCTTGTCAAGACACGTGTCAATGTATCACGCCAACCGGGAACGACCAAGTTGCGACATTTGTCTCCGTGTATTTTCCACGGCAAAACATTTACGGACGCACATTGCTACCGTTCACAGCACGCTGAAACGACCATCGTTTTCCATGCGGGTTTCCTGATTGTGACAAATCCTATCTGTCGAAACGCCATGTTTCGAAACACGTTAAAACTGAACACACCGAGAATCCGACCCGATTTCCGTGCACACTTTGCGGTAAAGAATTCAAGACCAGAGAAAATCTTTCCACCCACACGACGGAGAAGGCCTTCATTTGTTCCACTTGTGGGAGGAGGTTTGCACATTCATCCAGCTTAAAAAGACATGAGGTACGAATCAATGCGCACCATAAATATTTTATTGGGTAAAATGAAGTAAAAATTTATTTCTAATTGTTGAGACAGATATTGTGGGTCGACTTTAAAAAAATAATTATCCCAGCACTTGGCAATTTTGTATTGTCTTCTTCAGGGCAGAATTTACACCGTTATTTCTTATTCACAGGTCACGCATTTAGAAAATTCTACCCGTAGGATTTTCAAGTGTGAACTTTGTCCTCAAATGTCCTTATCTAAGGCTGACTTACAAAGGCATGTGCAAGCTGTGCATGAAAATCTGAGGAATCATAGGTGCACATTTTGCGACAAAATGTTCTCGAGATCATCCCACTTGAGACAACACGTGGAGGCGAGACATCCCACGAGTTCGGAGAAGATTCATTCCTGCGACAAATGCGGGTATAAGAGCCACTCGAAAAGAAATTTAGACCGGCACGTATTGAGGCACAATAATACGCATCGACGAGAATGCTACTTCTGCAAGGAGCAGATTTCCTCCTTTTCGAATTTGGTGACACACTGTCGTCGTCATACTCTCGAACTGTGAGAAAGGAGAGGATTTATTGTTATTTTAATATTTCCAAAACGGTGATCATAAGTATAATAAATAATCTAAGTAATTTATAATTTATAATCATCTGTAATCTGTAAACAGCAGAGGAATATTCCGACAAGTGTATGGCGGAATGTAGCCAACGCTTTGACATGTAATTAGTGATGGCATTATTTCTCAAACTTACTGAATAAATGGAGGCAGTAAACTACGATGGGTGCTCGTCGAGAAATTGGGTTGGCATGCTACATGTGCTCAAAACCGTTCAGCAGAAAAGGAAGCCTAAAGCTCCACATCGTCACACATGGCGTCGATGCGAAGGTGAAATGCGAGGTAATCCTCCAAATTTATTTATAACATGGACAGTTATTTTAAAATTCATTCAACTACACACTTACGTTTTCGTCCTGCTTTTCAGATCTGCGGGAAAATCTTCAAAAACTCATTAAGTTTATCCACCCACGTGACATTGCTTCACATCAACCGGGACCGACCCAGTTGCGACATCTGTCACCGTGTATTTTTCACATCTGCTACTTTACGAAGACACATTGGTGCCGTCCACAACACGACAAACCGTTCTCGTCTTCAATGTGGGTTTCCTGGCTGTGATAAATTCTACCTAACGAAAGAAGATGTTTCAAGACACATAAGAACTGAACATGCCGAAAATCCGGTGCGATTCCCGTGCACACTTTGTGGTAGAGAATTCAAATACAGGCAAACCCTTGAGATTCACGTTACAACCCACACGACGGAAAAGGCCTACGTTTGTTCCACTTGTGGGAGGAGCTTCGGCCAACTGTAGGCCATGAAAAGTCACGAGGTATAAATAAATAAGTTTCTTAAATGTGTGAAATAAATATAACGATGAATAAATATTTTTTACATATGTATATTTTACAGGTTATACATTTGGAAAAGTCCACTCGATGTATTTTCAAGTGTAAGCTTTGTCCTCACACTTCATTACGGAGAGGTGATTTACAAAGACATATCCAAGTTGTGCATGAAAATCGGAGGAATTACCCGTGCACATTTTGTGACAAAAGATTCTCGACACGTGCAAACATGAGACGTCACCTGGACGCGAGACATCCCGCAAACGGTGAAAATATTCACTCCTGCGACAAGTGTGAATTCATAACCCACTCGAAAGGAAATTTAGCCCATCACGCGAGGCGTCACAATCCGGCGAATCGACGAGAGTGCTATTTCTGCCAGAAGCAGTTTTTCTACTTTCCAAAATTTTCCAGAACTTTTTTATACTTTACAAAATTGGTGGCACACTTTTGTCGTCACACTCTCGAACAATGAGAAATAAGGAAATTTGTTTTCTGGTCTTGTCTGATTGAATTTAGGCCGCCGATTTGTAGTTATCTTATTACACAAATTACATAAAATACACAGATTTGACAAACTTTTCTGAGCGGTTGATCATATCTGTTAGTAAAAATTAATCGTCTAAGATCTGTTATTAGGTTCTGAATATTTTTGACGCGGGTTTTCTAAATATATCTGCATATGTGTTTACCAGGAAATATTCCCTGCGCATGCACTTGCAATTACTGATGAAATTATATTTCTGAAAATTTTTAATGAATAAAGCGTCCTGGTTAATTTAAATAATTTGTGAGCATATATTGTCAACATACAATTATGTGGTGTCAAGAGGTGTCCACAATCAATCCAATTTTCGAGACTATTTTAGGTGGGGAAAAAATCTGAAATTTCAGAATATGCATTTGGAAAACAATTGAAGGCCTGCGATTTTTAAATTTGATTGTTTCCCTTGATTTTATTCGTTGATGAAATACTCAAAACGGGAAGATGCATAACGTCGTATTAATTCGAAAACGACGTAAGTGCAGGCGTGTGTTGTTGATCACATAGTCTCCCATATTTTTCGTTTCCTGATAATTAGGTTTGCAAGAAAATTTTGAAAAATTCTAGAACCTTATCAACTCACATGTCAGTACTTCACACTGATCGGAAACGACCAACTTGTCAGCGGGTGTGCTCTACTCTTTACTGCTTGCGTCAACATATTGCCACTCTTCACAGCGAGATTGAACGACCTCGCTTCCCATGTGGATTTCCCGGATGTATAAAAACCTACTCCAACAAGAATGGTTTATCGAAACACATAAAAACTGAACATTCCGAGAATCCTACCCGATTTCAGTGAACGCTTTGCAGTAAGGAATTCAAAACCAGATCCTACCACACGACCGAGAAAACATACAATTGCTCAACTTGTGGGAAGAACTTCTCGTGAAATTTAAGACAGCACCAGGTAGTGCCAGGTACAAATAAATCCTTCAAATGTTTCGTTGGGAAAAACGAAGGAAAAACATAGCAATTCAGAAATATTTGTTAATTTACAGGTGACACATTTGGAAAAATCGACCCGAAGGATTTTCAAGTGTTGCCTTTGTCCTCACACTTCCTTAAGTAAGGCTGACTTGCAAATGCATATCCAAGCTGTGCATGAAAACCAGAGGAATTATCCGTGCACATTTTGTGACAAAAAGTTCTCGACATCGACCACTATGAGGCATCACGTGGAAGCGATACATCCCGCGAATAGAATAGTATAGTTCTGTGCCCGCGAATAAGGAGAAGATTCATTCCTGCGATAACTGCCAGTTTATCACCTATTCGAGCCGAAATTTAGCTCATCATGCGAGGCGCCACAATCCCGCGAATCGACGAGAATGCTACTTCTGCCAGAAGGAGTTTTTCTACTTTTCGAAATTGGTGACACACTGTCTTCTTCATACTCTAGAAATGTGTTAATTCAGGAAATTTGTTGGTATACTTTTCTGGTTGTATTTTTAGACCGGCGATGTGTATGTGTTTGATATCGAATTATTTTAAAATAAAAAATCTGACAAATATTCCCAAAAGTTGATTATAAATAAATAATAGTCTACATTCTGTTAATAATTGCTGAAAAATAGTATAAATTTCAGGCTCGTTTGAAGAGAAATCTCTGTACATGTATAGGTATGTAAGTGCTGATGAAATTGTGCTGATCAAAACTTTTTTGAATAAAGCCGATGCGATAGTCCAAATTTTACACCACTATTCTTAACATTCAAGTACATACATATGTAAGCATTTGGTGTAATAAAAGTATTCTCCGATTTTCGATTAAATCGTGGTCTCTCAATCGCAACAGACATCACAATCTGTATGACACATTTATAAATTATGTAACGCAAAAATTGCGATTTTCCTGACCCCGAAAATACCAATTGTGCAGTTCATATTCTCAACAAAGTTGTGTGGTGGTGCGAAGTTGCCCATAATATCACTACAAGTCAAGTAGCATCATGTGATTTCCTTTCACGTGGTCGGGGGGTGAATCTATTACCACCGCTCACCAGGGGCGGAGGGGGTCAAAATTGTCCCGATGTTTAACTTCACTGTCACTTGTTACCCTGATCCGAGTTTTTGATTGGATCTATTAATCTAACCAACCACCACGACAACCAAAAATTTCGACCAATCAAAAATTCAAATTCAAATTAGATGTCCATGTTATTTAAATTAAGGGGAAGGATTGCCTTGAATTGAACAGTTGTTTCACGTCACCACCCTGGCGTTCAGATCATTTGCCTCAGGACCCTTACCAACATTCTTTACCCTTCTCCTTCTAAAAATACACTTGGTCCGAAATATGCGACTAAAAAGGTTAAAGTAGTTTGGCTTTAGTGGTTAGAGACAGCAGAAGACATTAGCCTCGACACCATTACGATATTGGTTAATTAAAATCGGAGGAAATAAATGCTGAAATATTTTTGAACAGGTGCGACATCCTTGAAGAATTACAATCAAATTATTTAGGAGTGCATTTCAGGTTTATTGTTTAAATTATTTTTCTGGTTAGACTGAGAGGATCCACGGCGAGGCAATGGATTTGAATGCTACATGTGCTTAAAAACGGTCAACACGAAACAAGGCTTGAAGCTTCACATTGTCACCCATGACCTCAATGAGAAGGTGAAATGTGAGGTAATTACCTGAATTTATAACATTAACGGTAATTTTAATATTCAACCAGCAATATAATACTAGGTGGCCTAAGTAAAGTGTTAGTAAGTTGAAACGCTGTAGCTTCAACAGTTTATGTGTTACAAATTTCTAGTAAATTTTAATGGAAAGCCAGTTAATTTCTAAGTGGAAAACAATTTTTGGTATTCGAAATTTCCACCCCTAACATTAATGCAGAGCTGAAGACGCGGCCAACAGCCCTCGATTGGAGCACGCTCGGAATCCGTAGTCTAATTGTTCCATTTCGTGGTCAAAGAATTTTTTACAGCTTTCAGGCTTTTACGAGGCTTAGAGCACACATTTGCCCATAACTTTGACCATTTTTCATAGTCCAGAGATTCAAATCCAACAAGGAGGATGACAGAGCCGTACCGTGAAATTTTCAGGCCTGGTATGAGCTTCAGTGCCGGGCCCTTCATGTTAAATATATTCGATATTACGCAATCGTTTTCGCTCCAGAATACTAGTAGTATTTAGGAACGAAGTAATATTTTACCTATTTAGAGCACACTATTTTCCCAGATCCAAGGGAAAATAGTGACAATTAAATTGTAATTTTAAATTGCTCAGACACCGAAATAACTCGAACCATAATTTTCGTTTTCCTGAATGTTCGTGTTTTCGGTTGTGCCAGAATTTGTGAATACATTTTAAGCCAAATCAGGGTTTTTCAAAGTAATAAATTTTTACCCCATTTCAAAAAATTAAAGCACTTTATTGCACAGAATTACATTGAGTTTAAGAAACTTCCACAATTCAAAAAAAATTTCGAATTTTCTGGTCTGTAACATTTTTTCAAGATTTCGAAATAGCATCAAAATTTCAAACATTAAAAGTTTTTCCAAAAACAATTTTTATAATTTTATTGAGGTAATTTTTTAGCAAACATGTTACTTGCTTGTTGAAATAGAGTTAAAATTTTAAAATTAACAACGTTTTGAAAAATCCTGCTTTGGCTGACAATGTA